TGGGGCATTAGATGAGGGTTGTAATCCCTAAGAATCCGATTAGGCTATTAATAGCCCGGTCAGGTTATAATAACCTAATATCCTGTAATAGGATATCTAGGTTATAATAGCCCGGCAACATCCTATTTTAAATAGGATATCTAGGTTATTATAGCCTATTGAAAATAACCTAAATAGGTTATTATAACCTATTATAGGTTTCAAAATAGGATATATAATTTGGAACAGTTGTTGCGTCAGTCAACAAAACCAAGATAAAGTAGGAGCCTGAGGCTTCCTAGGCAAAGCTTCTTGAGGAGCAAAATGCTCCTGACATCTTGCTGGAGGAGCCATGGGCGTCCTGAACAAAGCAAGAAAAAACAAGCATTCGTCTCTTTTCTCGCGCTTGCGGCGGGGACGGCGTAGGTGAGAAAAGGCGTCCAGAGATCGAGTCTGGACTGGCAAAACTACGGCTGTGGGCTTGGCAAGAGCTCCTACTTCTACACGCTGTCAGTGTGGCCTAGTGCTGAGGCAAGGCAGAACTGGTTAGCTTAGACCCTCTGAACAGCTCATAGCCATAGGCCCGCAACCCTAAACCCTATAAGCTACAAGAGGAAAAATTTAGCTGTAAAGGTTTACGAGTTTAAGCACTGTAGGAGCTGGAAGCTTCCTGTCTCAAAACTTTAAGCTGCTAGCCACACTCAGACCTTGGCCTCGTCCCACATCTTGGATGACTCCGCCAGGGCAGCTTTTGCCCACAGCAGCATCTGAGCACTGCTTGCCTGGCGGTCCTTGGCCATGCGCTTGCCAATTGCGTAGCCTTTGCTGGTGAAGGTGTTCCTGAAGTCAGTAGGCTTGATGGACAGGCTCTGTCTCACAGCTTCCTGAACCTGGGCCACGTTCTGCTTGAACCAATCTGTGTCGGGGAGGTCTGCGCAGGCAGGCTTCTTCAGTCTGGTCTTCTCTGCGCAGGCAGGCTTCTTTTGCGCAGCAGGCGCACTCTGGCGCCCCTTCTCCACCAAAGAGAGCTTTTCCTTGTTGCTCATGGGCTTCTCTGGGCTGGCTTGCCACGCAGCTTGCAGAGCCCACAGCGTAGCTCTGTCCTGGAAGTCGTCCTCCTCGTTCTGCTCTGCTTGCCTTTTTGTTGAACAGCGAGGCTCTGGAGTCTGCACTAGCTGGGAGCTGGCAGCAGACTCGTGGTCCTCTTGCTGGGTCTTCTTGGGTTGCAGGGCCAGGGCTCCTTGCAGAAGCGTATCCTCTGCGGCACTTGTCGTAAATTTTGGGTTGAGTCGCAGACAAAGGGCTTCCAGCTTGGCCAGCTCTGCCTGAGACACTTTCTTTGTCGAAGCCTGCCAGATCGAAGGAGCGAAAGCGACCTCCCTGATCTTACTGGCGACCATGCGCGTGCGAAGGTTGAAGTACTGCAGCATGGCCTTTTCCCATCCTGGAGGCTTCATGAGTGGCTCCGAGATTTGGATTTTGTTGTTCTTGTACACGTTCGACAGCGCACTCTGCAACATGGAGTCGGGAACGAGCCCATTCGCGCGTGTGTTGAAGAGTGCGTGGGTGAGGGGGGCCATGTTGACCACGGCTGCTGTGTGCTTGCTGAGCGCGGTCTTCCACGTCATGTCAGGCATGTCCTCCACGACGCGGCTGATGTTGGTGGTGCCCTGGACTCCAGGGCAGCCACGGTCCCGGTGGACAAAACCTTCAAGCGTTCCATGGTCTCAGGTTGGGCAGGAGCGCAAGACGTGGGTTGAAACTGATGAAGCTGCGGGGAAAAATAGGTGAGCTGTAGGACTGGCGCTGTGAACTGAGAGGAGCCAAAAGGCATCCTGGCAAGCGGGAGGAGCCTTTAAGGCATCCTATAGTCTAGTGTAGGAGCCGACGGCATCCTTGGAGTTCCTGAGCTTTTTTAACGCCTGTGGGATGCTTGGATCAGACGGGGCACCTGAACTGAGCAAGTTCCATCGTCATGGCATCCGCGTGCTGTCTCATGAAGCGACCCGCAGCCGAGAGTTTGCTTCGACCTCGCGTGCAGCTGCTGAGGAGACGCTTGCCTTTGGACACGAAATCTTCGCCGCTGTACGTCCATGTGAGCTTGGGGTCAAGATGGCGAGCCAACTGCAGGCAGTGCACCAACCAGTGGGACTTGAAGGTTAAGTTGCAGGCCAAGTGGCCTCTTGCCAGAAAAGATTTCTTGACAGCTGCCGCGCAAAGCAGCATGCTCGTTGCTGTAAGGATCATTCGGTCTGCCGTGGCCGCGTCTGGCTTCCAGTCCTCAATTCTGTCTATCAGCTCATCCAGGTCGCGGCTGAAGGAAAGTGCGAGATGGAGTTGCCGATGGGCTTGGTCTGCAGGATTCATATAGCGGGGCCAGAGCGGATATTTCCGCCTGCGCTCGGGGTCCTTTGTGTCAGGAAGCATCATGCCCGGCGTGAGGTTGCCGAGTCCTTGGCGCTGCGCTTGTCGCCAGGTGACCTTGGGGCCAGGTATGAGAAAACATTTATATGAGAAAACACAACTAAAATTATGTCTGAGGAGCCGGTGGCATCCTGAGGGTTATATACAAGAGGGTCTGGGGTTTCGGGTTTAGGGTCTAGAGTCTAGAGTTTACAGTGGGAGGAGCCTTCATCTCCTGTAGCACGGTCTCTGCGTTCTCCTCCACAGAGCCAGGAAGCAAACGCCAGCAGAGCAACCACAAGGCTGTTCCGGCTAGCTGCTGGTCGGTACCCAAATGCTTGGTGTGCATATAATCGGGAATGACGCAACTCGGGCTTACCAGATGGCGCAGCAGAGGAGCAGGTGCTGTCCCGAGGCAGCAGCCAAGGGTCATCTGCAGGAGAAGCAACGTTTTTGAATTTGAACAAATCAGCTTTCTCCACTCGGCAGTGCCCACATGGCTGGTTGGCGTTCCATCTTGGCAAGTCGTGGCTGTTTGCAAACCACTCCAAGTCTCCTGTGAGGAACAGCAGAATCGGGAAGAGGTCGTGGTTGTCCGCAGCAGTCTGCAGCGGCTTCTCGAAAGCGCGCACGAGCTGGTTCCAGATGCAAGCTATTCTTCAAACTTTTGCTGGCTGACTCAAGTCGTCTTGTGATGTCTGATTCCTGGCTGGTGCTGCTGCTGCTTTGCTCTAACCTTGCAAGTGTCTGCATGCCTACCTGGGTTGCTGTTGTAAGTGCTGTGAGCACACCTTGTAAGTCTGCTTGTCCTCCATTTTGCATTGCTTGGGTGCATCAACAAAAACATCCACAGCAACGCTCTTCTCTTTTGACACTGGTGCAAACGGTTTCGCTTATCCCGGGACATGCTCACTCTGCTCAAGCGCCTCAGTGGTGATGTACACTTGCAACGCTTCTGACATGTCTGCAACCACTTGACAGCACTGATTGATTGCGATGCACTTGCAAAACCCACTGCTGCAGCCACCAAACCTGAGATAGTAGAGAGATATACCACATACATATAATCTGGGATAGCCTTGTCGGTGGTGATGTCGTTCATTTTCTTTTCTTCCATAGTCTTGCCAGCAACGAGGTCCTGATATATACTTCCTATAGCCTTGTCGTTGGTGATGTCGTTCATTTTCTTTTCTTTCATAGTCTTGTCAGCAACGATGTCGGTCCTTTCTTTTATATTCTCCTCCAGGTAGTCGTCCTTGTAGCCATCTTTCTCCATAGCCGTGTAGACGCAGTAGACCTTGTAACTTCCATTTTGCCCTTCTTCACCATCCTCTATCATTCTTCCAGTCTTTCCAGTTGCTCCACTGTCGGTAGTCATACCATTCCTGATCATCACGTTGGTGCCATGGAGCGGCGGGGTAGATCGTTCTTGCCCTGGCCTTTCCTTTGGGTGGCTCCTTGACTTTGCGCATCGCCTTAGTGGGTGCCTCCTTTCCTTTTGGTAGCTCCCTCGGAGGAGCTTTGGCGTTGGCCTTCTTTGGGGGCTCCTTTGCTGACTCCTTTTTCGCAGGCGGCGGTCCAACCTTCCAAGGGGTAGTTCTTGTTGCTTTTGGAGCCGCTGCAGGATCCTTTCCTTTTGGCACCACAGGCTCCTTGGCTTTGGCCACTGGATCCTTTGCTTTGGCCTCTAACTCCTTTGCTTTTGCTTTCTTTGGCTCCTTTGCCTTGAGCTTGGGGTTAGCTTTGACCTTAGCCAACTCTTTTTGCAAAAGCCCTGCACGAGCTGCTTTGGCCTTCTCCGCCAAGTTTTGCAACTCTCGAACTCTTCGCAACATAACGTCACGTTGTGGTGTCCTGGTAGGCCGGATTTTTTGACTCCACCTCCTGCAGGTGCTCCTCTTGTTGTTTGCTTGACCCTTTGCCGGTCCATAAGGGCCAACATCCTTTTTGTCCCCCTTGTTGGGACATCTCTGCTTCCACTAGGTTCTTCACGTTCTTCTCCTCCATCTTCTTCTGGCTGTTCATCTTCCACACGTCCATCTTCCAAGGCCAACTGCATTGTCCTTCTTCTCCTCTTTGGCCTTTCTTCTCTTTCTTCCATTTCTCGCAAGTTCCGGTCCCACGGCTCTTCCTCCTCTGACATCGTCCTGTCGAACAATGACTCTTCTTGGCTTTCTCTGGTTTTCCTTTCTGGTTCCACTCTTTGGGCTCTTCTTGCTTGTATTTTGGTGTGGGTGACACTTTGGCTCCCTCACCCAATGTGAGGGCTGGGTAGCTGAACTCCACTTCAGCTCCCACTTCGCAACACTCATCGCTGGTCTTTGACTTGCTCTCACTGAGCTCCACTCCGTGAGGCATAGGGTCGCCAAAACCATCCACATTCTTGAAACCATCGCTCATCTACTGGGCTTTCCCTTTACACAAACCACAGCAAACCAGCGTTTCCAGCCTGGGCCCCTGAACAGAACCCAACACAAACCACACACCC